TATGAGCCAAAATCTTTCTACCAAATTTTTTCAGGATCGGCCCATAAATGACCCTACCCCCCATATAAGGTCCCCTTCTGAAAATGACTTTAACACTCATTACTGGCCACAAAATGCAAGTATAGCGATGAAATTCGACATAAATAAGTTTCATGTGAGCCAAAATCTTTTTACCAAATTTTTTGAGGATCGGTCCATAATTGACCCTACCCCTCATATAAGGTCCCCTTTAGAAAATTACTTTAACACTCATTACTGGTCCAAAAATGCGAGTATAGCGATGAAATTCGGTATAAATAAGTTTCTTACGAACCGAAATCGCTCTACGAATTTTTTTTTAAGATCGGCAAATAAATGACCCTACCCCCCATATAAGGTCCCCTTCTGAAAATGACTTTAACGCTCATTATTGGCTAAAAAATACGAATATAGCAATAAAATTTTACACAATTAAGTTCCTCGCGAGCCAAAATCTTTTTAATAACTTTAATATGGATAGGTCCATAATTGGCCCTTCTCCCCCTATTGGGTCCACTTCAGGAAATAGCTTTAACGCTCATTACTGTCTTAAAAATAAGAGTAAAGCGATGAAATGCTACACACGTAAGTTTCTTACGAGCCAAAATCTCGGTACCAATTTTTTTTTTGGATCGGCCCATAAATGACCCTTCCCCCATATAAGGCCCCCTCTGCAAATAACTATACTGCTCATTACTGGCTTAAAAATATTAATGTAGTGACGAAAATTGACGCACATAAGTTTAATACGTGCCAAAATCTCTCCACTAAATTTAGGGAGGATCGGTCCATAATTTACCCTACCGCCCATACAAGGTTCCCTTTAGAAAATTTCTTAAACGATCATTACTGGCTTAAAAATATGAGTTATAAATACGGTTATGAAATTCGCTCCGAATTTCATGCGGAATGTGTCGGTAATTCACCCTACCCCCCCATATAAGCCACTTTATAAAATTACATGAACGCTAATTGCCGGTATAAAAATGCGAGAACAGCGAATGTAAACAAGTTTTATATGAACCAAAATCAGTCTACAAAAAGTTATGAGGATAGGTCAACAATTGACCATACACCACATATGAGATCCTCTTTAGAAAATTTGATGAAGAAAACTCTGATATTTACAAGTACAGTACAAAATATTAAAAATTAATATTTTGTTAGTTCAAAAGAGCTCGGTCCATAATTGTCTTAAGCTATATTCCAAACAACACCCTGATGTTTATATGGGAGCATTCCTTTTACGGCATACGGTTTGATGGTGGGTATATGAGATTCGGCACAGCCGAATATAACACTCTTACTTGTTTAATATAATTTTACTTTTTTCCTTAAAAACATTTTATTTGGTGTTTGTTTCATTAAATGATGAATTTAATTGATTTGAAAACAGTATTACAGTATGTGGAACGTATTTAACAAATGTGGTGTGGGATGTATTTGGCTGATGAATTTAACTTCACACCCTTATAATATTTTGACTTTAGAACAGAAATAATCAGTCATAAAGCACAAAATTATTAATTTTGTCCTTTCTGCGCCCTTTGCCCTATTTTTGGTCCTCTTCTGGTCAAACTTTCGCAACGGCACTTTGCTTATACATATTTCTAACACTTTACAAAGCTTAATCGAAAACAGTTTTGCTTAAGTATAGACAATAATTAGTATTTACGCTCAAAAGTACTAATTTTGCCCGTTTTCCCCCCATTTTACCCCTTTCTACTTCAGGTATAGATCTAACTATGTACCAAATTTGAAGCAAGTCGGTCCAGCCGTTTAGGCGTGAATGTCAGAATTCTACAGTGCAGGATTCTAGCTGTAATAGTTTCTCAGATATACGAATTTTTGTACTTAACTCATATCTGAGGTGCCAGGCCTCTCTAATAAAATTCCGCCCGTTTTTCTCCCAAATGTTCAAATGGATGTTAAAGTTTATGTGCAAAATTATATATTACTAGCTATACCCAGTGTGCTTGCTACACTAACATCAATGTATATAAAAAAACATTTTGCGATTTTGAAGATTGTAACTAAATATAATAGTTTTACAGATATACATTTTTTACATATAGGGGATGGCACGCAAATTATTGCAAGTTCGTCAATTTTTCCAACCGTTAATTTAGATTTCAATGTAACCTATGAAAAATTTTAATAATATAATAGTTTCCCAGATGTACGATATTTTGAATTTAATTTATATGGGAGATGCCAAGGTCGCTTTGAAAGTCCGCCCAGTTTTCTCTAAATGTTCACATGAATGTCAAAGTTTTCCATATATAATTTTCTAGCTCTAATAGTTTCTCAGATAATTCATATGGGAGGTTCCAATTTCCTAGTCCGCCAATTTTACTTAAATGTTTACATTGATGTCAAAGGATTTTAGCTTTAATAGTTTCCCAGACATAAGATTTTTTCTATTTAATTCATATGTGAGGTTCATAATGAAAGTCCGCCCATTTTCCCCAAAATGTCCAAATAAATGTGAAATTAAAGTTCTTTGTGCTAAATTTTAAGAATCTAGTTCTATTAGTTTCCCAGATAAACAAATTTTTGTATATTTTATTCATATGGGAGGAGCAATGATGGGGCCCATTGGTAGTCCGCCAATTTATTACACAAAATGTTTACATGGATGCTAAAGTACTTCGTGCAAAATTTGAAGTTTCTAACTCTAATAGTTTCCCAGATAAGCGAATTTTTGTATTTAATTCATATGGGGATGCCACGCCCCCTACTGCTAATACACCCCCTTTTTGCTTAAATAATCATATTGACACTAAAGTGGTTTCGACAAAATTTGAGGACTCTATTACATTTCTCTGTTACATTTTCTCAAATACACTAATTTAAGATTTTCTTCATATGGAAGGTTCTACGCCCACTATAGCCATTCAGCCCATTTTATCCAAAAATATTCTTATGGATGCCAAAGTTGTCCATACAAAATTTGAGGACTCCATCTCTTGCAGATTCTGAGATATGCGACTTTTAAAGTGGGCACGTCGCTCACAACAAATTGTTGTGTATAATTTATATGGGAGGTGGCATGCCCCCTATTGCTAGTCCGCCAATTTATTACCCAAATGTTCACATGTATGCAGATTTGAAGATTCTAGCTCTTATTCTATTATTTGACAGATAAATGATTTTTTTTTATTTCATATGGGAGGTGCCTTGCCCCTATTGATAGTCCGCCCATTTTTTGTCCTAAATATTGAATCTAAAGAAACTCCGAAAAACTGAAGACAGACAGATAGATAGATAGATAGATAGATAGATAGATAGATAGATAGATAGATAGATAGATAGATAGATAGATAGATAGATAGATAGATAGATAGATAGATAGATAGATAGATAGATAGATAGATAGATAGATAGATAGATAGATAGATAGACAGATAGATAGATAGATAGATAGATAGATAGATAGATAGATAGATAGATAGATAGATAGATAGATAGATAGATAGATAGATAGATAGATAGATAGATAGATAGATAGATAGATAGATAGATAGATAGATAGATAGATAGATAGATAGATAGATAGATAGATAGATAGATAGATAGATAGATAGATAGATAGATAGATAGATAGATAGATAGATAGATAGATAGATAGATAGATAGATAGATAGATAGATAGATAGATAGATAGATAGATAGATAGATAGATAGAAGATAGATAGATAGATAGATAGATAGATAGATAGATAGATAGATAGATAGATAGATAGATAGATAGATAGATAGATAGATAGATAGATAGATAGATAGATAGATAGATAGATAGATAGATAGATAGATAGATAGATAGATAGATAGATAGATAGATAGATAGATAGATAGATAGATAGATAGATAGATAGATAGATAGATAGATAGATAGATAGGATAGATAGATAGATAGATAGATAGATAGATAGATAGATAGATAGATAGATAGATAGATAGATAGATAGATAGATAGATAGATAGATACCCGCAAGGGTCTCCTTTTATAGGATAACGGGTTTGACGATCCCGCGGACCCTGAGTTGTCGCAGGTGTGGAGAGTGTACCAAAGTAGGTACAAAAACTCAGAGAAGCCCAGCGTCGGGGCGAGTTGATGCCGCCCTTAAATAAGTGTCAAATAGAACGTTCCTACCTGTGGAAACAACCGGGAGCGCTACGCTCTCATGGTCAAACACCAGACCCGTAGACGTAAACCTGCACTATATATCCACTTTGAGAGAGTAAAATATGCGTTGAAACCTTATCGTGATAGAAATAAGCTCTACACCTGCCCACACTACTTATCCCCGCCGAAAGGCATTAAGATCAAGCCCAGTACGATCTTAATTATGGCATTTCTGGACCACTGTTTTTGATTTATGGTTTATGAGCCGACAGCTGCGGTAATCTGGAACCTTAGTAGATAGAAGTAATATTCTGTTGAAATGGCTTCCAGGCAAATATCACAACTGCCTTCCGTCCTAGTAAAATTTGGCAAATCTTAAGGTACGTTCGAAGTTTCGTCATCATTCAGTTGGTGGTGCAGGTTCGGATGAGTTTCCCGATTAACATGGATCTGGCACTGGCTTGTTGACTCATAAGGACTTCAAGTCAACCCTTGCATGGCCTCCCTGCTTGCATAGACAACCATGAGATCGAAATACATGACTGCACAACGGGCGGAGATAGCGGCCTTAAGTTTGGACCCACAAATGTGAGTACTGCAAACAACAACAACAATAACGATAATAGCATTAACACTGCTATTAACAACCAAACTGAGGAAACAGTTGGTTCTGAGGAAACAGTTGATTCTACAACCACCAGTTGCACCGGCAACTGCCTGTACCGAAAATCCCAAAGAAGCTAAACTAGATAAACTAAGTGAAAAAATATCGCAACTCGTGAGTTATTTTAAAGGGTGAAACAACATACATAAAGAGATTATATCAATATCCCTAGAGATCCAAGCGATATATATGGCAATTTTTCCAGAGCATATCAAACCACAAGTGAGTCAAATTGATCCTGCATTACTTGACCCGAACAGAGAGACGAAACAGCCCGAACAGAGAGACGAAACAGTCCGTCCACAGTTAGCACAACTAAACAACCCAAAGAGGAAAAGAGATCCAGTATCACAGAGTCCAAAAGGAAACAATTCTAAGAAAAAGAAAAACGTAAAAACTCCAAAGCAAACAAGTGAAAATAAAGAAAACAATGAAAACAATACATCGGCCAACTCCAAAGGCGAAAATGTAGAAAAAATTGGTACTGAGCCTAATTGGGTGAAAATTAATCTAAAAGCGAAGAAAAAGAAAAAGTATCCACGGCCAGATGCTCTTGTCATTGAAACACGTGGTGGAATATCATATGCGGATATGCTTAAAAAAGTTAAAACGGTTCCGAAGTTAGTTGTTCTTGGCCAAAATGTTAAGAGCATCAGGAAAACTGCAAAAGGGGAATTGCTTCTTGAATTAAATAAGCCAGCACACCAGAGCACGTCCGAGTTCAGCCAGACAGTCAAAGAGGTGATTGGCACAGATGCAGCTGTGCGAGTAATGATAAATGAAGTTTTCTTAGATATCAAGGACGTTGATGAAGTAACCACAAAGGAAGAAGTTCACGAATCCCTGATTAACTTATCCGATGATTTTAAAGAAGTGCAATTAACAGCAGTTAAAAATATGAGGAAAGCATATGGTGGCACTCAAACTGCAACCATTGGTATCAATGCGATATTAGCAAACAAACTTATAGAGCTTTCTAAGATTCGTATAGGTTGGGTTGTTTGTCGTATACAAGAAAAAGTTGCGCCCAGGAGATGTTTCAAATGCTTAGACTTTGGTCATCCAGCTGCAAATTGTAAAAGTACAAATGATTACACCAACAACTGCCTATGTTGTGGAGAAATTGGACACAAAATAGGTTAGGTTAGGTTGATAGGAGGATGTATACTACATCAAATCCGAAGAAATACACCTAGGCCACTATCGGGCCTGTTGTGCGCTCCAATTCAAGAAAGAAAAAAAAAATTGTTCACTGAATGTATTATTTTTCCATGTTCAGAAACTCAGTTTCCTGGACGTAATTCCTAAGAATCTTCCAATCGGTGTTGGTTAAGAATGTTATTTCCGGAATAACATCACTTCCAAGATACTTGGATCTAACTTCGACGAATGCCTGACAATGGCAAAGAAAGTGCTCCAGAGTTTCACTGTCCTCTCCACATGCTCTACATTCGTCTGAATCCGCACGTCCAATTTTGTATAGGTGTGCTCGTAATCCTGTGTGTCCACTCAGAATACGAACCATCATACTAACTTCAGACTTGCTCATTTTGAGAAGATTTCTCGTCTTGCTCTCATCAGGGTCACCCCATAGAATCTTTGTGGTTCTACCCACCGTTTCATTATTCCAAGAGGCCTTATGGGATTCTCTCATCCATATTTTTAATTCAGCTTTTGTTGCGTCGAATGGTTTTGCGTTTGTCAGGTTAACTACATCGAGCTCCCTTCCCGAGTGGCCTGGTACCCATATGATGTGAACCCTACCTCTGGGAGAGTATTCAGTTAAAGCTTTCTTACAATCCAATACGGTCTTAGATTTAATTCTATCACCTGATATCGCACAAATTGCCTTCTGGCTGTCGGTAAATATATTAAGCCCTGTGGGCGCCATATTTATTCTAATCCAATTTACACATTCCGTTATTGCTCGTACTTCTGCCTGGAAGCTTGTGTTATGATTAGGTAAACGGTGGTATATTTCTGTTTCTGGGTCTTCAATATAAAACCCCAGGCCCACTTTGTCCCCTAATTTAGAGCCATCCGTGTAGCAACGGATTCCTACTGGTATTTGCTCTAATGTTCCGCTTGACCAAGACATTCTATCTGGGATTAGCGTTTCAAAGTTTCCGACATATTCAGTGTCTGGTATGCGATCAGGCACGTCCGATGAATGTGTATAACCTTCCAATGTGTCCAGTATACATTGATGACGTGTCCTATAACCGTTTTTGGCCAGTTCGCCTAAAGTAAAGAGCCATTCGGCTGTAAGCGCCGCCTCATATCTTATATATGTTTCAATGGGTGGAATATCTAGCAACGTTTCCAGAGCCTTGGTTGAAGTAGTACACATGGCACCACTTATACTCAAGCAGCATATATGCTGAACTCCCTGTAGTAGTTTGATATTACACTTTTTGTCCAAAGCAGTCCACCAGATTATTGAAGCATAAGCTAGAATTGGTCTAATTACACGTTTATAAAGCCAATTTGTCATAGTAGGACATATCGATTCTACATATCGCCCAGCACCGATGTGCCTTGTTGATCCTATCCTCTATGTGGTGTCTCCATTTTAATTTCCGGTCAAGTATTACACCTAAGTACTTAACTTTGTCTGTCACCGGTATCTTCTTGCCCAGGAAGCAAGGTTCAGTATATGTAGAAATTTTTGTCTTTCTTGTGAAAAGACAGATTTCCGTCTTCGCCGGGTTAACATTGAGGCCTCTCGGTTGAGCCCAGCTCAAGGCCGTATTCAGAGCTTCCTCAGCTCTTCTACACAAGTAATTTGGATCCTTTCCCTTTAAAAGTATTACGACATCGTCTGCATAGCAGACAGGTCTAAGTCCTTTCTCGGTTAGGGTCCTTAGGAGGCTATTAATCGTGGTAACCCAGAGTAAAGGTGACAAAATGCCACCCTGTGGTATACCGCGAAATACCTTTTTCCTGATAGTTATATCGTACATCTCGCAGCTTATCCATCTGTTCCTTAGCATGTAATTGATCCAGTTACGGAGCACCCGGTCAACATAAAACTGGTCTAGGGATTGGATAAGGGTATCAGTGTGCACGTTATTGAAAGCGCCTTCGATGTCAATGCATACTGCCAGTGTATACAGTTTGCTATCGAAAGATTCACCTATGTAGTGGACAACTTCATTTAAAGCGGTTTCCACCGATCGTCCCTTTACATAAGCATGCTGCTTATATTTAAGGTCTTTGTATGGTATGCTGCTTTTAACCATGCTATCGACTATCCGTTCCAAGGTTTTAAGTAGGAAGGACGTAAGACTTATCGGTCGATAGGACTTAGGTGTCGCATAGCTAGGTTTCCCTGGTTTGGGTATAAATATTACCCTTGCATCCTGCCATTTAACTGGGGTATATGCCAATTTTAAGCATGCAGTGAATATCTTTGACAGATGTACGGAAACCAGTCCGGCCTCCATCTGCAAAAGTGCCGGGAAAATTCCATCCGGCCCTGCAGCTTTATAGGGAGCAAAGCTTTTGATTGCCCCTTTAACCATGTCCACTGATACCCTTCCTCCAATATCGGTTCATCTATGTTATTCGATATACCGGGTGGAAAATGGGAGTTTATTAGGAGTTTCATTGTCTCCTCCATATCCTCAAGCCTCCTGCCCGTCTCATCGATCATAGATTCTGGTTGGACATAAGTTTTGGATAGGAATTTTTTTATCTTCGATACGTCATTTACGCTATCTACCTGTTCACAGAAAAGTTTCCAGGAGTCTCGTTTGGCTTTTCGAACGATTTTCTTATATTCACCAAGTTTATTACGATACTGCGGTCTTTTTACGCCGTGCCCGGTTAAATAGTTTGCGAAGAGTCTTCCCAAGGTTCCGGATCTCCCCAGTTACCTAGGGTTTTTCCTGGGCAGATCTCCGCTCTCGCAGAGGGCAGCTGTCCTCGAACGATTCAACCAGGGCACTTGTGAACGTTTCCACTTTGGCATCTATATCCTCTTTATTTCGACATTGAAAAGTGTCCTGACCTAAACGGTTCTTTAGTAAGGTCCCGAACATTGTCCAATTGGTTTTAGACTTATTCCGAAACTTTATTGGCTTTGGTGGTGGCCTTAGTATTTTGAATCTTATGTACCGATGATCAGAAAAGGAGTGCTCGTCCGAAACTCTCCAATCCTGAATTTCGTTTATAAGCTCTTCTGAACATATAGTTATATCTAATACTTCTTCTCTGATTCTATTGACGAAGGTAGCTTTATTACCTAAGTTCAATGTTATCAAGTCTTTAGTATTAAAGAAATCCATGAGGGCTTGTCCCCTGCGATTGGTGTTTGTACTACCCCAAGCTACATGGTGCGAGTTGGCATCACAACCTATTACAATTTTCTTATTTTTCCTTTGTGCCTCTTCAACCAGTTTCATCAGATCCGACGTTGGTGGTAGTGTCGGAGAATCGAAAGGCAGGTAAATAGATGCAAGGAATATGTTGCCACGACCTTGCTTCAGCACCGTTGCATCCGATGTTGATAATCCTGTTGAGAGGAGAAAACATAAGTTCTTGTGACATAAGATACATGTTCTAGGGCGAGATCCTGTATCAGCGTAGAAAAGTTGGAAATTTACGTGATTTAATCCAGAAACCTTGTTGCGAATCGTCCAAGGTTCCTGGATTAAAGCTATATGTATTTTACCTGTGTTGATTTTAGCCATCAGAGCGTTGGTAGCTGTCTCGCTCCGATGGAGGTTTATTTGGATAACCTCAATCATGGTCATCCATTAAACTGTCTTCCAGCGAGTTGGTGGTCACCTCCTCGCTCTTTGGATTTGACTCCTCCGGATAGCCTGAAGTGGCTATTAATGCAGTGAGTACTGTTGATGGCACTGCGGTGTCCTTATCAGGCATAGGAATAGCAGTATTTTTAATAGACACATTCCCAATTCTGGAGAGCATTGCTGTTCTGTCTTCTGGCGGGTGAGTGATTTCCTCCTCGCTTTTAGGATTTGACTCCTCAACATTGCTAGTACTTGCTAATGATGCTTTGGGTACTGTCTTAGGTGTTTTAGTGTCCTTGTCGGGGCCGGTTTTGACAGCTCTTTCAATCGGCGCCTTCCCAATTTTGGAAAGGGCAACTACACTTTCTTCTGGCGAGTTAATTGTAAATTCCTCGATTTTAGGATTTGACTCCTCAACGTTATCAGTAGTGGATACTGATGCTGTGGTCTTAGGTTTTTTAGTGTCCTTTCCGAGGCTTGTTGTAACAGCCCTTCCAATCGGCACCTTCCCAATTTTGAATATGACGGATTTAGAGGCGAAGTAAGCCCTACCTTTATTCTTGGCAAGACTAGCCATGGATTTCTGGTCGATACCTATTACAAATAAAGTTCCCTCAGGTTCTTCTTTCCTGTAAAAGACATCCCATTTTTCCACGGCCAGCTCAGCATTTTGACCTCCAAGAATTTCTAGTATACGTTCATTAGCCAGTTTACTGCCCCATCCTTTTATGTAGACAGTGGACTTTAGGAGCACCGGAAGCTCGCTCTTCTTTGCCAGTCCCAGCCTAGCGCCGTCCCAGGGAGGAGGGATACTTTCCACCAAGTTCTTTAGGGTGCTAACACATTGGTGAGATGCCAACCTCATCAACATCACGCCCATGCTGAACTCGCAGCTCTCGCTCTCTATTGGTTGTTTGCCCTTTGAAGCGATTGCATGGTCCACAATCTTATTGTTGACCAGGTCTTCTATTTTACTCTGTTGGTCTATTGGAATTTTGCCTGTCGGATTACCGGCATCGTAAACTGCATAGCAGAGATCGTCCCGGTGCCTACTTCTGGCAACTTTGGCGTAAGATGGCGGCTCTTTTCCTTTTCCTCCGTCTAGCTTCTCCTTCCTCGTTTTTCGGGGCTTCTTTTGAGATTCCCTTATCTTCGAGGTTGATTTCGCCGACGTGTTCGTCTTCGGAATATCTGGCTTGGCGTTGTCACCCTTACTCGCAGGATTCTCACTTGAGATTCCTTTGAGTGAAGTATGGCTTGGCTTCGACTGTGTATTAGAAGATGGGGAGCTCTTTTTCTTCTTAGGTTTATTCTCAGTTGCCAACTCCTCGGGAGACCTGATCCTTTTTGCCTCAGATCTTGTGAGAGAGTCCGATTTTTCCTTTG